GGGTTCTCACTTTCGCTTCGCCGTTGGGTAATCGTGGAAAGTAAACTTTGAACTTGCTCGTGTGTTAAAAGTAGGCTTTGTATTCATGTCATTGTCTCAGCTGTTGGAGATTATCACTTTTCATGCACATGTCAGGTAAAAACCAAACGTTCCATTAAAAGTAATAACATAAGACCTTGTAACCTGGGATATTTTACTGTTCCCACAAGATTTGTGAATATAATAATTCCACCACAAATAAAATGGGGAGAACGACAGAAGAGAAAACTAACTTCTGAGAAGTGAAGCCCAAATAGAAAGATCAGTACATTGAACGTAATGCTTGTGAGGAATTCCACTAAACTGGTTGTCTCTTCATTCCGTTTTAACTCCCCCTCTTCCCTCCATTCTTATCACAGTGTGTGTCTGGCTAAAAATATTCCGTATTTCGAGGTTCCAACGGGATGGAAATTTTTCGGCAATTTGATGGATGCGAAAATGTGTTCGCTCTGTGGCGAGGAAAGTTTTGGTACCGGGTCCGATCACATTCGTGAGAAAGATGGAATCTGGGCTTTACTCGCCTGGTTGTCCATTCTGGCTCATCGACGTGAAGCGGGACAACCGGTCGAAGTAGAATCAATTATGCGCGAACATTGGTCTAAATATGGCCGATACTTCTTCACTCGGTATGTCACTCTCTTGGCTCTTGTTGTACCGGATCCTCCACCCCCCTCCCCACATACGCGTCTTAGATAGTCTTGGGGAGGTGATGACGACGATCCATTTTTGGGTGCCAGTGTTCTTTCAGGTCGTGCACAAATCGAACCAATCTACTGGATCAATAAGTTCGTGATTGGGACGAAGATTCCTGTTGGTTGATTGGCCCTTGGTTCATTTCGATCACCTTTGGTGTTTTGTGCGCCTATTAGCCTGGCACGCGTATTCGGTATGCCAAACCGGTACCTAATGTTTCCTATGCGATTCAAAATGATGCACTTACGTTCAGTTTGGTCCATATCATTGTGCCCTGTGTACTGTAGTTTTACGAGCGTTACCTGTGGAATAGTGAAAGGAAGTTAGACTGGGAACAAGGACGACAAAAAACAACAATAACAATAAAAACAAAAAGGACCACGACAACAACGGCAACAGCAAAATAAATACTTAATTTTTTTTCTTTTCCGTTTGTTTCACTGAATGCATATTGGTACCAACACATTTTCAGTGCATATATATGTCTATATTGTGATTTGAAAATATACGCATATAGTTTGCAGTCCCCAACTATAATCCCCTACAATAGACGCTGAGTCCGAACTTACGGCACTTGTTCACCCGAGTTCATCACAAAAAGTGGTGTTCGACAGGGTTGCCCTCTTTCTCCGTTTCTATTTAACTTTGTTATAGATCTGATTATGGAAACAGCCCTATCCTCGTGCGA